CTTTTAGCTTATGTGCTACTTGTAGCCTTTAGGTTATGTGCTACTTGTAGCTTTTAGCTTATGTGCTACTTGTAGCCTTTAGCTTATGTGCCACTTGTAGCTTTTAGCTTATGTGCTACTTGTAGCCTTTAGGTTATGTGCTGCTTGTAGCTTTTAGCTTATGTGCTACTTGTAGCCTTTAGGTTATGTGCTACTTGTAGCTTTTAGCTTATGTGCTACTTGTAGCCTTTAGCTTATGTGCTACTTGTAGCCTTTAGCTTATGTGCCACCTATATCTCTGTAGTTTCAGCTGATCTTCGCCTGTTTTTCAGGGGTCTTCTCCTCCTTCGTCAGTTATGTGTGTAAGATGAGCACTGGGAGGTTCGGCCAGTCCGTTGGAGCGGTAAGAGACTTGGGGGCTCCTGGTCTCAGGACCAGCTCATGTTCTGTGTGAGTTCTGGACTCAGGAACCTGTTCTTCTGTGTTTCTGGTTCTGGTTCTGGATCCAGTCTGGAGCCATTATGGCCATCCTGGCTGCTGTCTGCACCAAGATTCCTGAAGCCAAACTGGCCATCATCTTCCTGCCCATGTTCACCTTCACTGCTGCTAACGTAAGGCTCCGCCCACCTGCTCACCTGTCTGATCTCACCATCCTCTTCCTCACCTGGCCGTCTCTTGTCTCCTGTCTCTCGTCTCCTGTGTCTCTTGTCTCTCTTGTCTCCTGTCTGTCTTGTCTCCCTTGTCTCGTGTCTCCTTTCTCTCTTGTCTCCTGTCTCTCTCGTCTCCTGTGTCTCTTGTCTCTCTTGTCTCCTGTCTCTCTTGTCTCCTGTCTCTCTTGTCTCCCTTGTCTCGTGTCTCCTTTCTCTCTTGTCTCCTGTCTCTCTCGTCTCCTGTGTCTCGTCTCTCTTGTCTCCTGTCTCTCTTGTCTCCTGTCTCTCTTGTCTCCCTTGTCTCTTGTCTCCTGTCTCTCTCGTCTCCTGTGTCTCTTGTCTCTCTTGTCTCCTGTCTCTCTTGTCTCCTGTCTCTCTTGTCTCCTGTCTCTCTTGTCTCCCTTGTCTCTTGTCTCCTGTCTCTCTCGTCTCCTGTGTCTCTTGTCTCTCTTGTCTCCTGTCTCTCTCGTCTCCTGTCTCTTGTCTCTCTTGTCTCCTGTCTCTCTTGTCTCCTGTCTCTCTTGTCTCCCTTGTCTCGTGTCTCCTTTCTCTCTTGTCTCCTGTCTCTCTTGTCTCCCTTGTCTCGTGTCTCTCTTGTCTCCTGTCTCCCTTGTCTCGTGTCTCCTGTCTGTCTTGTCTCCTGTTTCCCTTGTCTCCTGTTTCCCTTGTCTCCTGTCTCTCTTGTCTCTTGTCTCCTGTCTGTCTTGTCTCCTGTCTGTCTTGTCTCCTGTCTCTCTTGTCTCCTGTTTCCCTTGTCTCCTGTTTCCCTTGTCTCTCTTGTCTCTTGTCTCCTGTCTCTCTTGTCTCCTGTCTCTTTTGTCTCTTGTCTCCTGTCTGTCTTGTCTCCCTTGTCTCGTGTCTCCTGTCTCTCTTGTCTCCTCAGGCTCTGAAGGCCATCATTGCCATGGACACTGCTGGTCTGGTCCTAGGATGGAGGTTTTTCGATCATGCCGCTCATTTAGGAGGAGCTGTGTTTGGGATGTGAGTACTTCTTGGTTCTGTTGGTCCTGGTGGACCAAATGATCCGAACCTACACTGGTTCCCTGAGGTCCACCTGGTCCAGATCAGTTCTACTTCCTGTCTCCTCAGATGGTACATCCTGCTGGGTCACGAGTGGATCTGGAAGAACCGAGAACCCTTTGTCAAAGTTTGGCACGACCTGAGGACCCGACGAGGTGGGGGCCCAGGAGGCTCAGCGTAGGACCAGGTGCAGGACCACGAGCAGGACCAGGAGGACCGTGGAACCACAGGTGTAAAGTTGTATAAAATGTACAGAGGCAGAGTAGATCCTCTGTTGGTTCACTTCCTGTAGAAGCAGAACCAGAACAGGTAAAGACCACAGAGACCAGAGGTTCAGGACTCTGAGGGGTCTTTAGATCCACCAGGATCAGGTCCAGAACTGTTGAATCCAAAACTCTTTGTTCTTTTTATTTAATAAAACCTTCAAAAACAAGTTTCCTCTTTATTTGGAGTCTGGAATGTTTCCCGACAACATGAAAACAGTCAAAGTAATCCCTCTCTACGAGTGGTGGGAAACGTTTACAGACTATAGACCCAAATTATTACCACAGTTTTATAGACCCAAATTATTACCACAGTTTTATAGACCCAAATTATTACCACAGTTTTATAGACCCAAATTATTACCACAGTTTTATAGACCCATATCATTATTACTACAGTTT